GGAGCTGGTTGATGTGGTTGCCTGATCGACCAGGTTACCTGGGTGACAAGGTTTGCGGAGGAGTGCGACGGTCGCCCAGGTGGTTTTGGCGAGGCCGACCTCGATGGTGGTATCCCAAGGCCGACGTGGCCGATCAGATGCAGTTATCAGCACGAGGTTGATTTGGTGTGTGCGCTGTGCAGGTGACGAGGCACAGCACTCCAATCATCTGCGAGCACCTGCGAAGTAGGTGCGCTGCTGCTCTACGGGAGCAACGCTGGCACGCCGTCGACTTGCAGTGTTGGCAAGCCGCGACTCTGCACTGCTGGAGCGCAGTCGACCAAGTCGTGCTGGCACAAGGTCGACCGTGCTGTGCTGGAAGTCGACCAGCAGCCTTGCTAGGTCTGATGTAGTCTTGCATGCCAATGTCGTTGCTACCATTTTGTTCTGAACTTTTCCTAGTGGAACTCTTGCCAATTCTCCCCGTAAACTAGCAAGCAGTGTGCGCACAAGGAAATGACTAAGTGAACGAACGCAGAGATCCCTCCTACCCCGTGCCTATCCCGTAGCCTAGCTCTCGTTGATAGAGTTATCTCCGCAGCCAGTGCAGCTCTTGCTGTCCGTAACCACATTCCGCCTGACCAGCGCTCTCATTTTTGCCAGCTTAAGACGGCCAAAGCGCTTTACGACACTGTAGTCAAACGCTATTCCTCCCCGTCTTCTGCCACGATAGGTCGCTTGGCACTACATTTCCTCTTTCCTGAGCTCGCCGACTTCACCACAGTAGCCGACCTCATCACGCACTTGCGCTCTCTTGACACCCGTTACCATACTGCGCTAGATGCCGACTTTTTGGCTGAGAACAAGCCCCCCATGTATCTCACCCACTACTTTCTCACGACTCGCCTCCCTGACACGCTTTGTGCTGTTCGTGATCACTTACTCTCTCTCGACCCCACCAAAGTCACCATAGACTCGTTTGAGAAACGCCTCTTAGAGGCTGAGTCTGCTGCCCTAGCTATAGCTGCCTCTCGTGGTACTCCCCTCCCCTCTGTCTTTGAGGGGTGCTCTTCCTCCCTGCTCGTGTCCTCTGTTGCCTCTGCTGCTGCCGTCGACTTCCTTGGTGTTGAGGAGGTTGGTGCTGCATCTGCTCCTGCTGGGAGGCGCAAGAGCGGCAAGGGCAAGGGGGGCAAGGGTGGGGGTGGTGGGGGAGGTGGGGGTGGTGGTGGTAGTGGCGAGGGCGTTTGTGGTGGAGGTGATGGGGGAGGAGGGGGCGGTGGCGGCAGTGGAGGTGGAAGGGGTGGTGGGAGCAGTGGGGGTGGTGGAGGGGGCGGGGGTGGCGCTCGGGGTGGAGCTGGAGGGGGTGGAGTTGGAGGCTTGACTACGCGCACTGCTACGTCTGGTGGTGCAGCCGGTGGTGGAGGCGGCTCTGGGGGTGGACAGCTGCAGCTCTCGTCGCAGCAGCTTTAGGAGTGGGCAGTCAGGCGTGGCAGCTCGGGTGGCCCAGCTCACTGTGGGTACATCCGTCGCACCAGTCACCCTGGCGCGGCTTGCACCCGCACTGATCACACAGAGTCTTCCTGCTTCTTTTGCATCGACGACTTGTATCGTGCGGAGCATGGTGAGCAGATGAAGACTCCTGACTGGTTAACTTTGCTGAAGAAGGACATCGATGTCTTTGCTTGTGATTGGGACGTGATCCATGCTGGCATGTATGCAATGTATGCTGCTTCTGCTAGTGTTGAGGGGGATTTCTAGAGTAGAGGTTGCTAGTCTTGGTGCTTTTGACTGAGCTAGCAAAGGTGCAGAGCCTAAGGAGGCCTTGCACACTTTTACGCTCGACTCAAGAACGTCTCGTTGCTTCTTCCGCGACAGCACCACAGTCACACCGCTCACAGTCCCTGTCCCTGTCACACTAGCCGACCCCTCCAGGGGCCCGGTTGTCGTGCGTGGCACCACTATTCTCCCTTATCCGACGGCCCCTTCGGGCCTCCTCACAGGTCTCCACCTCCCCTCGTTTGCTAAGAACTTGGTGGCTACCTTTGTCCTCCAGGACCAGTGGGTCACTGTCACCCAGCCTCGAGGCGAGCTAGTGGCAATCTGTACGGACTTGCGCACTGGTGAGCACCTCGCCAAGTTCACTCGGAGGCCTGGGTCTAGCCTGTACACACTGACCACTGAGTCTGCACTGGTAGCTGAGTCAGGTCAGGTAGCTGCGTTGGTTGAAGTCGTTGCGTCTTGCTCGTGTCGTCTCCTCATGCACCAGACTCTCCTCTGGCACCACCGTCTTGGCCACCCCTCCTTGCCACGCCTTTGTGGCATGCACTTGCGTCTCCTTGACTCTGGGCTTCCTAGGTCCCTACCCCCGCTCCCGAGGTCGCTTGCGCCGCCGTGTCTTCCCTGCGTCGAGGGGCGGCAGCGCGCTGCTCCTCACTCCTCCTCGTTTCCTCCGACCACAGCTCCTCTGCAGACCTTTGACATGGACGTGTGGGGTCCAGCCCGAGTCCCTGGACATGGCGGAGAGCGCTACTTCTTGTTGGTTGTAGACGACTACACGCGCTACACAACGGTCTTCCCCTTGCAGAGCAAGGCGGAGGTCCGCAGTGTTCTGATCCGCTGGATCCGTGCTGTCCGTTGCCAGCTCAGTGCTCGGTTTCGTCAGGACATCCTGGTCCTGCGAGTGCACTCTGACCGAGGTGGTGCTGAGGGCATCCGCCAGACGTTCACGCTTTCGGCCTCTCCACAGCGGAATGGGATTGCAGAGCGCGGCATTGGCTTGGTGATGGAGGTTACTCGCACCTCCATCGTCCATGCGGCTGCTCCCCAGTTTTTGTGGCCGTTTGCAGCCCGATACGTTGCTGAGCAACTCAACCTCTGGCCCCGTGTCTCCCACCCGGAGACCTCTCCCACTCTACGGTGGACGGGCGAGGTTGGTGATGCGTCGCCGTTTCAAGTCTGGGGTGCCCTTTCGCTTGTTCGCGACCCCCCTGCGGGGAAGCTCTCTCTCCGCACTCTTCACTGCGTCTTCCTTGGCTTCCCTACCGACGCCCCGAGCTGGCAATTTTACCACCCGGGTTCTCGTCGTGTTCTCTCCTCCCAGGACGTCACCTTTGACAAATCTTTCTGTTTCTACCGTCTCCACACCCACTGCAGTTCCCCTGTGCCTCTCCCGCCTCTCACACTGGTCTTCGACCCCCCCCCCCCCCCCCCGGTAGCCCCACTCCCCCCGCTCGGTCTTGCTCTCTCAGGTGTGTCTCAGGCTGACCCGTCCCCCTTGGTTGAGCCAGTTGAGGTCTTCTCTGACACCTCTGGCCCAGTTGAGGGGGGTGACCTGACTCCTGCTACCACCATGACCCCTCGCAGCTCTGCGCGTTTGGCGGTCCCTCCTGGGTTTCCGCCTCGACCGTCTTCACCGCCGCTGTAGCCTGTTGCTGTGGACCCTGGTGCTGCAGGAGGTGGTACCATTGGGGGTGCTGATTTTGGGGGTGCTGAGTGTCCTCTGGGTACAGGAGGTATTGGGGGTACTGGTGCTGGTGGTCCTGGTACGAGTCGGTAGGAGGCTCTCTCGCCGGAGCGGCTTCGCGAGTGGGCTGTCCAGTGGGGCAGCCCTGGTGATGGAGCTAGCCGTCTTCGAGCGGGAGGTGCTGGGACTCCTGGAGCTGGAGGTGCTCGCACTGCTGGAGCTGGAGGTTCTGCTATTGGTGGTACTAGTGCACGTCGGCAGGAGACTCTCTCACTAGAGTGGCTTCGAGAGTGGGCTGTACAGTGGGACAGCCCTGGTGGTGGAGCTAGCCGTGCTCGTCCTACTAGAGCTGGAGGTGCTGGGGCTCCTGGTGCTGCTGGAGGTGCTGCTGCTGTGGGTGCTGCTGCGGGCACTCCTGGTGGTGGCGCTGGACGTGCTGGAGCTGCAGGTGTGCTGGCCCTGGAGGTGCTAGTTCTGGTGTTCCTGGTACTGGAGACACAGGTGCTGCTGGAGGTACTGGAGGTGCAGGTGCTACTGGAGGTATTGGAGGTGCTGGCCCTGGAGGTGCTAGTACTAGTGGTCCTGGAGTTGCCCGTGCTAGAGGTATTGGTACAGGAGGCAGTGCTGACACAGGAGGTACTCCTAGAGGTACTACTGGAGGTACTGGAGTTAGTGGTGCTAGTCGGCAAGAGTCGCTCTCGCCGCTGCAGCTTCGCGAGTGGGCTGTCCGTTGGGGCAGTCCCGATGGTAAAGCTAGTGGTACTGGTTCTGGGGGTGCTGTTGCTACTGGAGCTGGAGGTTCTGGGGGTGCGACTACTCAGCCGCAGCCGTCTGCGCTTCGTCACCTTCTCAGTCTCCCGCTTGCTGCTACTGAGTTCCCGGTTGCTGGTACTACTCCCCCGATACTGTTCCCACCGACTGACCAGTCTCAGCCACAGCTACTGCCTGGCTCCCCGCTGCCTGCTCCTGCTCCTCACGCTGAGGTGACTGCGTCCCTGACTGCGCGTCGTGAGCCTAAGACTCGTGCTTCCACTCCTGAGCGTTGAGAGCCTGAGACTAGAGCTTCTGTCCCTGCTCGTGTTCGTCGTGTTCGTCTTCCTCGTGCTCCGGCTGTACCGGGCACTCACGATATGACACTCCGTCCTTCCTCTGTTCCACAGTGTGTTGTCCTGCCGTCGCCTCCCGCGTCCCTCTCTTCCGCATGTTCCTGACCCTGAGTCTGACCTTGTCCGTGCTGCCTGTCCGATTGTTTCGTCTCCTTGCCACAGTTGTGATTGACCCTTCCTTTGAGTCTACTGTTGCGTCTGCCTTAGTTGCTGAGCTTGTTGACTTTGCCGCTTTGTGCCGCCTTGACTACGCTGCGAGTCTTGTCTTTGCCTCTTATTGCCGTTGCTGGTCTTTGCGCGTTTAGAAGTCTGTTTCGGTTTCTAGTTCTTCTTCTTAGCAGCAACAGTCTTCTGAAAATTATTAACTGAGAAAGTCTTCTTGTTGTTACTACTACCTTCTTGCCGTTGTGGTTGCTCTGACCGAGCAGGACGGTTGTTGAAGGCCGACTTTCTCAGCTGCCCTCCCCTCTCTGACAGACGCGCAGCGCGTGGCGGCCATCGACGCCTTCCTGCAGCGCCCCCTCGACGCCCACGCCTTCTAGGCCATGAGCCCCGCCCTGCAGACCCTCTTTGCCCGCCGCGCCCATGCCAAGGCTGTCGACAGGCAGCTGTCCGGGATTCAAGCTGCCACTGCTGCTGGGGGGAATGCGCCCCTCACAGACCAGTAGCTTGGGGGGCTGCCAGGTGTGGCTGGGGGTGCTGGTGTGGTGGGGCGGACTGCAGGGGTGTGGGAACGGAGGGGGTGGGAACGGCGGGGTTGGGAATGGCGGGGTTGGGAACGGCGGGGGTGGGAACGGCGAGGGTGGGAACGGTAGGGGTGGGAACGGCGGGGGTGGGAACGGCGGGGGTGGGAACGGCGGGGGTGGGAACGGCGGGGGTGAAGACGGCGGGGGTGGGAACGGTGGGGTTGGGAACAGCGGGGTGGGCATGGGGAGTATAGGAATGGGGGCAAGGGGAAGAGGGGGGACGAGCATGGTGGGAACGATAATGGGGGGAACACGGATGGGGGAAACGGGAATTGGTTCGAGGGGATTGGGGACGATGGGGCAAACGGGGGCAGTGGGAGAGGTGGCAGGAGGTGGAGGTGTGGCAGACGGTGGGGGTGTGGCAGGAGGTGGTGGAGTTGGTGTGGGAACGGCAGTAGCAGGTACAGTAGCAGCAGACACAGCAGGAGAAGGGAGGAGAGTACAAGGTGTGGGAGGGGTGGGAGGGGGAGTAGGGGAAACTGGGGCGGCAGCAGGGGCAAGAGGAGCAGGAGGGTTGGGCGGCACACAAGGGGCGGGCGGCATGGCAGGGCTGCAGGTGCTGGGGCCTCGCGTGCAGGAGTTGATGTAGGAGTTGGTTAGGGAGATCATGGGAGCAGTCAATGCGAGTCAACAGGTGGTCAGCACGGGTCAACAGGCAGTCAGCTCTGGTCAAGGGGCGGCCAATGCTGGTCAAGAAATCTAACATGGTTCGAACATATGATCTTGAAGACGCTAGTATACATCCGCACTGTCGTTACGAGCCTGTTCAACTCCTTTTTGGAAATTAAGATCGACGGTGCTTCCTTGCAGTAAGCCATACAGGCAGCCGGACGATCCATATCATCTTCCTGACGGAGTTCTTCATAATGGCAGACGAAGATGAAAGGCTTAATCTGGATGCTGTGGAAAATAACCCCGTTCGTCTTCTGGTCTTCCATAAAATTGTATAGCAGCATCAGCGTACGATACTTCAGGAAGTTATTTTTTTTTATCCTTGATAACTTTCAGCTTAAACTCGTTGAGGTTATTGACATCTCCAAGGAAATCAAATAAGTCCAACATGACAGTGTCATGACTCTCATGAGCAGAATTTGTAAGAATAACTGTGCAGGAATGATTGGATTAGCAAGAGTTTGGGTACGAGTACTAACCCTAGAAGTGCTGTACCCCATAAGGAGTGGCCCACTACAGCCTACAAGTGATATTGTACTTTGACAGAATTCTGACGCGGAGCAGCCATCGTATCAGTACAAGTCTTCAAAGGCCGATTAACAAGCTCTGGAGAAGGTCTGATAGCAGATGCTGCGATGGTGACAGCAGCAGCGAGTGGAGTATCGCAAGCTCTCTTCTTGCTCGGTTGAGAAATTGGACGCTCTGAATAGAATTTGAAAGGCAAACACTCTTTATCCTTGCGATTGGTTCTTGGTTTGCTGGCCTCGAGAGTCTCGTTGATCTCCTTCGTGTCTTTGGTTGTGTCAGTGTCAGTTGCATTGGTTGCAACAAAATGGTAGTTGTGTTTTTTTGGAGTCCAATCGAGCACCAAGTAGGTGCCATGGTTCAATACGTGGCAGCAACTCTTAGGCATGACATTTTGAAAGTTGTTTTGTGTACTATCTCGAGAGGAGATTTGTGGGGTGAACTAGGTAACAAGGTGATACATATAACTAACTCTAACCTAGAAAGTGTTGTACCCTATACAATGCAACTCACTAGCCTAAGAAACATAACACACATAAATATATTTTGACAAGTGTTCCTCGGTAATGATTTATTGAAAACGACTGAACCATTGATGCTCTGCAACCAGAACAAGGCAGTCAATGGAAAGTCGGCATGGTAGAGAGACAATGGAATGAGTAGGATGGGAGGCGAAGGCAAGACAGGAAGGGAGAAGAGGGAAAGGTAAAGGAAGGAAAAGGACATGCAAACAGCATCTTCTCACCCACATCAGAACACAAGGGGGAGCATAGGAGACAAAATGTAAGTGGGAGCAAGAAGAGCCCCACTCACAAGCCCATGTTCCTGCACATGCCCTCCCTCACACCTGACTCGCGAAGCTTTCAATGCATAATGCTTCCACGTACCTCCGATGAACCTTATCCAACCATACCCACTTGTCCAACAAGACCCATTTCATTCCACAGGACCCACCTTACCCAACAGGAAGACCCATCTTACCCAACAGCACCCACCTAGAGCCTCCTGTGCCGAGACTCGCCTCTTCTGGTCCCGATCCAGCATCCGCAAAATCAAATCTTTCCCCTCCTCCGTAACACCCCTCCATGCCGACCCCTTAAACCCCACCTCCGCCTCCTTGATCGCCCTCGTCACCCCCGCCTCCGTCTCCGCCCAAAACGGCGGCACGCCGGCCAGCAGCACATACAGGACAACCCCCGCCGACCACACATCCGCCGGCGTCCCATACGACCCGGAAAGCACCTCCGGCGCGATGTAGAACAGCGACCCAACGGCATCGGTCAGCATCTTCCCCCCGGGCTTGAGAAACGCGGCGACTCCGAAGTCAATGACGCGCACGTCGATGGGGGAGGAGGGGTGGGCGAGGAGGATGTTTTCAGGCTTGATGTCGCGGTGCACCACGTGGTGGCGCTGGTGGCAGCTCTGCAGCACGCCCAGCACCGCGCGCATCACCACCGCCGCCTCCCTCTCGCTGTACCGCCGCCGCTCCTTGATTCGCTCAAACAGCTCGCCGCCCGAACACAGCTCCATTATCAGGTGGATAGCGTGGGGGGTTTCAATGGGTTCTTCCAGGTGGATCACGTTGGGGTGGGATTTGAGGAGGTTCAGTATTGCGACTTCGCGGCGCACGTTCTCGATGTCGAATTTGGACTGGAGTGTGGAGGGGGCGGAAGCAAGAAAAGGGGGAGAGCATGTGAGGGAGGAGGAAAGGGGAAGCAAGAAGCACAAGGCACACACGGCAGACAACAAGAGACACATGGAAGGGACAAGGAGAAGAACAACAAACAGATGGAACACAGAAAACACACACCTTGAAAGCAGCCTTGTGAATGGTCTTGCATGCAAGCCTCCTCCCCGTGCTCCGACACACCACCACCCTCGTCACCCCAAACTGCCCCGCGCCTAGCTCCTTTCCCCCCTCCACCTCATACCTCTCCTCCACCTCCCCAAACGCCCCACCCAGCACGTTCACCCCCACACCCCCCACGCCCATGCCAGCAGCAGCCCCAGCAGCAGCAGCACTGGCGGCAGCAAGGAGTTTGGAGAAGGAGGATAGGCCCTTGGCTGCGAGGCTGAAGAGGCGGTTGCGGCTCGCCTTGAAGAACCGCGTGCGGATTTGCAGCTCCGCCTCCTCCCACTGGCCTCGCTCGTCTGCTTCTGCGGACTCCTCTCGTGTGGCTGCGGCTGAGTCGGCACCACCAGCAGCACCAACAGCAGAAGGAATTTGAATCGGCTCGGAAGGGCCGCTCCCGTTTGCCTTTGCTTCCGCCTCGCCTCTGCCGCCAGCAGTGGTGGCAGCGGGTGGTCGTCTGGAGAACAGTTCACTCCCCACGCCATCCTCCCTCCCTTCCAACCTCAATTCCCCCAACACTGCCCAGGAAACAGCCCTCCTGTGCCCGCCTCTCCCCACCCTTCTCCCCTTCTCTGCCACACTAGCATGCTTCACAAGCCCTCTCCTTGCAATTCTTTCAGAGCCTACCCTTGCCTTCCCGTCTCCCACACCCGCTGTGCCGCCCGGACTTTCCTGGTTATCCCAGTTACTCTGGTTACCTCGGTTGCCCTGGTTTCTCGGACTGCTGTGGTTGCTCGGGCTGTTTAGTGCACCTTCTGCTTGCTGCTTGTTGCATCCCATACCTCCTGATCCTAAGTCCATGGATTTACTATGAAACCGATTCTCAGGTCTTCTCTGCGGCACTTCCCCTCTTCTCACACCCTCACCCACTCCCCTCACTTCTATCGCTCCTCCTGCTGCTCCTCCCCTCCCTCTTCCTCCTCCGCTTCCCTCAATCCTGCCTTCCACGGTCTTGGCTCGGGTTACTCCACTAGGCACATCCTCAGCGTCGGCAGCACAGGCTCGGCCCGAACCTCGAACCCGTTCGCCTAGGGATTGCACCCTGTTCACCTCACCAACATCATCCCAACCTGGAGAATGCTCAGGTTCGGCAGATTTGCCTTCCCTGGCCAACCCTTCTGCTTCGGCAGAGCTTTTGCTCCGGGGGTAGGCAAACCGAGCCTTGGTGGCAGGGCTGGCGGCCAAGGCGTGGGGGGGAATGCGGGTGGGGGAAAGGGGGGGTAGAGCATCCTTCTTTCTACTCGCGCTCTGAAAGGCTGGAGGCAGTGGCGATGCGCCATAGAATTTCGCAGCGTCTTGGGAGGGGGAGCGGGGGACGGGGGAGTGAGGGAAGGGGCAGTAAGGGGAGGGGGAGTGAGGGGAGAAAGGGTGGCGAGGAAGAGCGCGGGGAGACGGGGAGAGAGGGAGTGGGGAGGAAGGGCTATCGTGCAGATCAATCTGCAAGTCGATCAGGCGGGGGGGCGAGAGCGCCAGGCTCGGCGGAGGCGTGCCCGCGAGGGGAAGCTCGGGAGACATGACTGCCACTGACGCAGAATCTAGAGGCAGATCCGACAAGCTAGTTTCACGCTCCCACCTGCTCGCTACATTTGTACTCGGTACAAGCGCAACCGGTACAAGCGTTCTCGCTACAGGAACATCATCATCATGACCCTCCGCCCAGCCATCCGTCAACTCAAGCCCGCACCCTTCGCTGCCTCCTCTCCTCCTCTCGCGTCTCCTCTCCATCCCCGTGCGACCCCAGTCGTCCTCTTCCACTGCTACTAAGCGATCGCTAGTTGAATCCATCGAGTCGCCTCTCCTAGTTGACCTTTCTATGACCGACGCGCCGCGCGAGGCCCTCGGGATACGGCTGGAGCTGCTGCTAGTAGTAGTCGTGTTTTTTCCGTGAATTGCGCTGCTACTAACCGTGGTGTTACTGCGCTCCGCGGCACCCCAGGTCTGCGCAGCGGGAGACTTGGGCGGAAGGAGTGACATGGGTGAGGGGGACCCGAACGAGCGCGCCGCGCCCCGGGAGATCGATCCGGGGGACTTCGCTCCCGCCATCGCTGATTGCGCGGACGCGAACGCCGCCGTCGCTAGCGGCGCTGATCGCGGGCTGCGTTCCGACCCCCAAGCGCCTTGCCGCGGAGGCCTGGCGGAGCCTATCGCGGGAGAAGCGACTGTTACAACGTTACAATCGCCGACCGCGTCGTCGATCTGTAGCGTCAGTGGGCGACGTCGCGGCAACTGCAAAGGCGACGATTCTCTCGCAATCACGCCCGGTTTTTCCGGATTTTCCCACGACGGCGCATTAGCGACAATCGTCGCCGCCCGGGTTTTCAGCTGCAGGCGCCGCTCCTCCTCTTCCCTCAATCGCCGCTCTTCCGCCTCCCCCCGCTCCTGCTCGCGCAGTTCTTCCGCGCGCCGTTCTTCCTCCCGCCGCTCCTGCTCCGCGCGGAACTCCCGCGCGCCCGGCATCCCCGCGGTCGTGATGATCGTCGCCGCGCGGGTTACCAGCCCCTGTTTTCGCCGCTCTTCGTTCCGCCGCCTCTCCAGCATCTCTTCCCGCGCTTTCTCCCTCCGCTCCGCCTATTCACGCAGATGCGCAACTCGTGCGCCGTCGGCTGGTGCAGCCGCTCCATCAGCTCCCGCGCTTTCACGATCCGCTGCGCCGCCGCCGCCGCCGCCGCCTCCGCAGCAGTCTCCGCCGCTTGCGCCGCGACGGAAAGCTCATCAACCGTAGGAGCAACCAGCGGAGCCGCTTTTGCCGCTGCCACGGATGCAGCCACGGCCGCCGCCGCCGCCGCGACTCGTGCGCCGAGGCCCGCTCCCGCCGACCCCGCCGCGGACGAGCGCCTGCGGAGGTTGCGCTCATGCGCTGCGCTGGACGCAGGGGGAGGTACGGAGGAGGATTTTCCGCCAGCGCCCAGCGAAGCGGAACGGGGGAAGGAAGGCTTTTGGCCGCGGGATTGCGGACGGGAGCCGGTGGGGGCGAAGGCGCCGGGAGCGGGGGCGGGGGAGGGGCGGAATTCCGCCATCGAGAGTGCAGTACCCTGGATCTCCGCGCATTGCTGCGGACACTCGGAGAAGCTCCCGCGGGGGCTCCGGGCGGGGCGACCATCGAGCGCAGACTGCATGGTGAATGAGTTTTCGAGCCCGTGTACTAGCGGGTTACGAGGCGGGGCCCGTGGGAGGGTCCCAGTGGGGCCGCATTCTACGCGTACATCGCGCCTGGGTGCATAGTTCGTCAGACTAACAAATACTCTGCACTGATTCTGTTTGGTTGTACCGAGGCTGTTGTAATCGAGGTGCATGAACACAGGTTCTTGGGGAGGGTAGTGTAGGTTGAGGTACTAAATTTGGGCTGACGAGATGGAGACTGCGCTGCGAGCTATTCTCCTGAATCTGACATCTAAGTCAGGCCCCGTGTCGAGAATCGAGAGTGTGAATGTATGTATCGTATCCTTTCCTTACATGTTTGACCTCACGACTCACCAGTCATGGATGTGTGGTGGAGTGGAACGCAGCATGGAGTGAGGCAGCAAACCACATCAGCGACGCGGAGGCGGACTGAAGCTGGGATGGGATGGGCGGGATGGGAAGGGGGGGATGGTTCGTCGTGTACTGTACAGAAGATCAACGCACATGATCAAAGTTTGTGCATCCATGAACAGTGTGCATTCAATTCCATACCACCAGGGCAAGTCACACTTCGAGTGTAAACCATTCCTGACCTGAACACAAAAAAGCACCCTTCAGCTCACCTACCTCGCCGGAGAACCTCAAGGGAAATTATACGGGCAGTCACAATAAGGCCCTGTTTTATCAAGTTTGGTCACACGGGTATCACAGACAGTCACAGTACGGTTCATAACTATCGCAGGTGATCACAATGCTATCACGGATAGCCACACCTTCCCCATATAGCTATCTGTTATGAGTGCAATTGAGCGAGCGAGCTAGAATTGCACTATCCAAGCAAAACAGTCCATTGAGCGAAGGAATGAGCAAATATTATATAAAGAAGCTAACGTGGAAACGGTAACGCGAGAAATTGGGGTGTGCTACGGGCCAAGCGCATGTTACCAAACGAACCGTAAGGTTGGGTTGAGTCGTGAACAGTGGTATGAACAGTGGTCGAGGCGAGTGTCGCGAGTGGTAACGGTGCACTGCTGGGTACTATTGGTGGGAACAGTCGTGTACGCGATAAGCAAGGGTGCGAAATAAGGAAAATGATTTTTCCTTGCACTACCCCCTTCCCCAAGGAGGCTCCCTTTACAAGAGTGCGTGAACATCCCGGAAATTGTGGCTGCGAAGATACTCGGTGAGGACGGGGTAATATTCAATCCTATCCAGGGGCACCAGTTGTCCTCGGTGGGTGTGCGGTCTTTCCAGCAAATTAGAAACGAGATCCTGCGAGCCCCATGTGGGTCGCGAACTTGGTGGCTCATGATTTTCTTAGGTGTGATGATCGACTCTGTGGGCGGTCGTGTCATGCTGGCTGGGCGGTTGCAAGGAACTTGGCTGGTGGATGGGACGTATGGGCGGAGCAGGCTGACGTACCAGTCAGCAGGAAGGAGGAGGTGGGCAGACAGGTGTAATCATCTGACTAATTCAGAATGGCCGGCAATATCGTGGGCCGAGTTACGGAGTGATGGGCATGCGGAGGTTTCGGGTGTCGAGTAACACAAGGTCGTCGGGTTGGTAAGTGACACGGCGGCAGTGGCAATCGGCGTTGCGCTTAGCGATGTTGTTGGATTCCTTAATAGGGTCTGCTGCTCCGTTCTGGGCGGCCTGTAATATTTTGGGGAACTGTTGTGCACGTGGGACTGGGTTGTCGGGATTTGGGGTTATTGGTACTGTTGGGATTTTTCCGTAGTTGAGGTAAATTGGTGATTGTTGTGTCATGGTTGATGTGCAGCTGTTGTACGCGAACTCGATGAGTGGCAACTGCTGCTCCCAGGTTGCTGGGTTGTCGCATGTGGCTCGGATTAACCGCTCCATGTCTAATTTATATGTTCTGTTAGACCATCGGTTTCAGGGTGGTATGATGAGCTGAACTATAGTTGCATGCCGAACTACTGTCACATGTTGCGCTATAAGTCGCTGGTGAATTTCGTGACGCGGTCGCTGATAATCGCAGCTGGTGTCTCGTGCAGTCGAACGACGGTGGAAATGAAGAGTCGGGCGGTTTTTTCGGTTGTGATTGACATTTGTAGGCTGCGAAATGTGCCATCTTTGTCACCCGATCAACGACAACCAAGATCGCGTCGTTCCCACTTGCTCCATCCGGTAACCCCGTGACGAAGTCCATCGTGACCTGCTACCAAGCACGCTCTGGGAGTGGTATCGACTGCAACTGTCCTGCAAGTCGTTGCCATGACGACTTCATGAGCTGGCAGGTGGGACATGATGCCACGTGTCGTTGCACGTCGGTCAGCATCTCGGGCTAGTAGTAATAGTGTTGCAGCTGCTGCCGTGTTTTCTCTACTCCGAAATGTCCTGAGGTAACTGCGTCGTGTGCCTCACATGGCAGTAACTCCCGTAGTAACGTGTAGCCCGGTACCCAGATGCGATCAGTGCCGGATTTTACATAATAAACTCCCTTTGCTACTGCAACCTGCTACGAATCTCCCCCGGTGAAGAATGGGTTTGTTTGGTAGCCGTGGGTAAATAGTCCTGTAAGTAGTGGGCTGGTTTGTGTATTTATATGCTCTAGGCTGTAGTGGGGCACTCCTTATGGGGTACAGCCCAAATTAAGTTTTGCTATACAAACTCTGTACTGCTGTCTTTCTAGTCACTTCTTTATTCCTAATTCTGACATGGCTTCAGAGCATGTTCCCTAGTGGGAACGCTTTTTTTTGGCCCACCACGATAATTTTTTTTTCCTGCCCTGCCCGAAGCGCGCCTCGCGCCTGCCTCACCTGCGCCGTCGCGCGCCCTGCCTTACTGCCGCCCGTAGCGGCCCTGCCCTCCTTGCCCGTCGCGGCCCTGCCTTAACAGCCCGTCGCGGCCCTGCCCTACAGGCCCGTTGCGGCCCTTACCTAGCCGCCCGTCGCGGCCCTGCCCTGTCGCCGCCCATCGCGGCCTGACCAGGCCGCCCGTCGCGGCCTGACCTAGCCGCCCGTCGCGGCCTGACCTAGCCGCCCAGTCGCGGCCCTGCCCTGCAGCCGCCCTGTCGTGGCCCTGCCCTGCAGCCGCCCCGTCGCGGCCCTGCTCTACCCCCGCCCCGTCGCGGCCCTGCCCTGAAGCCGCCCTGTTGCGGCCCTGCCCTGCTGCCGCCCCGTCGCGGCCCTGGTCTACCGCTGTCCCATCACGGCCCTGCCCTGCTGCCGCCCAGTCGCGGCCCTGCCCTGCTGCCGCCCAGTCGCGGCCCTACTCTGCTGCCGCCCCGTCGCGGCCCTGACCTGCTACCGCCCTGTAGCTGCCCTGCCCTCCCCGCCAGTCACGGCCCTGCCCTGCACACGCCCCTGGTAAGCGCCCACCCTGCCAAGCACGCCGCTGCGCTCGCCTACATGCCGCGCCGCGCCGCCTAGCCGAGCCGCGCCACCCTGCCGCGCCGCGCCGCCCTGCCGAGCCGCGCCACCCTGCCGAGCCGCGCCGCCCTGCCGAGCCGCGCCTCCCTGCCTTGCTACTACTGCCGCCATGGCTAGTCCTACTGTTCTTACCTTCGATGCTGAGGGTCGTGCGGTCAATTTTGAGGTTTGGGTAGATGACTTGCAGCTCTATCTTCAGTGCGAATCTAGGGACGGAGTCTCACTTATTGATCATACGTCCGGCGCCTCTGTTGCACCTGCTGCTGACGCTGACAGTACGGTTCGCTCGCAGTGGACTACTCGTGACGCTGTTGCTCGCCTTGCTGTTCGTAGTCACCTGCCGTCTGCTGAGTGCGCGCACTTTGGCCAGTACAAGACTGCTAAGTCTCTGTATGACGCTGTTGTCGCACGCTACTCCTCTCCTGCCTCTGCTGCCCTCAGCCGCCTCATGCTGCCGTACTTGTTCCCTGACCTAGCCGCTTTTGCCACAGTCGCCGACCTCATCACTCACCTCTGCACTAGTGACACCCGCTACCGCACTGCGCTTCCCTCCGAGTTTTGCGCCAAGAACCCCCTCCCCCCCCCCCCCCCCCATGTACATCACCCTCTTCTACGTCGTCACCCGTCTCCCTGACTCTCTTCGCTCAGTCAGGGACCACTTTCTCTCCCTTTGCCCCACCGAGCTCACCGTAGACATGCTCGACTATGCAACTGAGACTAGCATAGTCGTTGTATGAGCTTCTCGCGGCGACCCTCGCGCCCCTTTCTTTGAGGGGTGTTCCCCCGTTCCCCTTTTGCCCTCTGTTGCTTCTGCTGCTGCTGTCGACCTCGTTGGCACCGAGGCGGTCGGGGCTGCGTCTGCTCCTAGTGGGAGGCGCCGCAGCGGCAAGGGCAAGTGGGGCAAGGGTGGTGGAGGGGACGGCGGGGGCGGCGGTGGTGGCG